AAGGCTTGATGAGTTCAGAATATTTTCTGGTTTATACTTCTCCAACCTCAGCAGCACTTGTTCGTCCTCAGCACTGAACTCAGGTCGAACACCTGAAAAGCAAAATAAGGTAGGACAAGGTCAAGAGGGCTCTCCAAATTTGAGCTTGGTTAGTTTGAGTAAGGACTTACCCAAGTTATCGGGGGTAGACCAGGCTCTAGGAATGGGGAGAGTATCTGTCTTATCAGTCGAATTATACTCCCAGTGTTCTCCCTACAGGAAGAAGAAAAATTTTTTCCAGCCCTTGTGGGAGCTCAGGAGGTCAGAAATAATCTATTTAGCTTTTACCCATTTAGAAATATACAAGAAACCATCAGTAGGGGTATACTTAACATTGAAAAGCTCCATTAGTAAGAAGAAAGTGGGAACACCGAGTTTATGTAGCTTAAAGAAAACAAGGAGGCCCACTAGGACACCCTAGAAGTTAGGAGATAACTAAGCAGGACAGACGTTGAAATGTTGAAGAACACTCTTGACAAAAGGGTGTAAGGGAAATAGCAGATCATTCTCAAAAGTAGCAATAAAGAAGCAAACCTTCTTATGAACCTGGGAGACATAGGGCGTAAATTTATTTGGGCACCAGAACTGAACTCTTGGGGGAAAACTATAGCAAGCACTAAGGACCTTCATTAGAGATGGGTAGACCTCACTGGGGCCTGTGAGCTCAGTAGCTCTAAAGGCAGCCCTTGCGCCCTCGCCACTACCTGAGACATCAACCCCGCTCACCTAGTCTTGCCCTTACTAGAGTTTTTGGGCACAGGGGAGGCAGATAGGGGAGTTTTCTCGGTGTTTCCCTCAGCTTTAGCAGAATCAACACCAAAAAATTTGTCAATTTTCTCACCTACCTCACCTAAATCCGAGTTATCCTCAGCAGTCCTATCCCCCATGATGGAAATAGAGGAATGGGTGGCTTTAGAAGAGGCAGACATGGTAGGGCAAGAAAAAAGGAGTCTAAAGGTGCGATAAAGAGAATGAATATTTGCGAAACACTTCGTAAGGGTTTGGGGAGCAACACAACAGCTCCCAATAAGGAAGACCCTAGCGGTCGAATAAGGGTCCAAGAAAAGGAAAATTCGAGACAACGATCGACCTCGGTTTCTAAAATAGCAAAATTGAAAGGTCCAAAAATACATGAACCACCTTAAATCTGAGGGATCCAGAATGAAGAGACAAATAGAGGGCAAGAAGCGTACCTAGGAAAAGAGGAATAGTAGGCCAAAGCCAGAATCGGGGGTAGAGAGCAAATCTTGTCGAAACCTCGAATTGAATCAGGGAAAATCGTTTCCTCAGCGAAACCCTAGTGGCACCAACAGAATCAAAAAGTTGAAAGTTGCAGGAAGAAAAGAGGAAAAAAGTGTAGAGAGAGAGTTCAAAAGATGGAATGAATTGTTCCCCCTCAATTCGGAGGCATTTAAAGCCAACGGTACAAAGTGGAGAACGTGCACGAGAAATTAGGAAGTGAAATGATTGCCTAAAACTGTCAAAAATCTATTTGTGCGCAAATCGAGGTCCACATCTAGAGATCTGTCCTGATTAAGCCTCAGCTCAACCCCTACCCAAGTTCACTTGGGATAAGGGCTAGGGGACAACTGATGGTACTTAGAATAATTTTCAATCATGAGGTCGGACCAGGAGGTCAGACCAAGAGGTCAGACAAGCAGATCTAGATAAGAATTCAGGAAAGACACGCAAAGCTCAGGTCAGAGCTAGAGCTCCCCCCCCCTCCCCCAGACGAGCCAACAACGGAAATGATAAAGAAACAACTGGATGATAACAAAAATCCGTTAGGTGGCAAAGAGTCATATTCAAAGTATAAAATCTTTAACCAGTCAAGATCCTCTCCTAAGATCAAGGAAAGTTCCTCAGATAAATAGCAAGGATCTCAGTGCAGATCCCATAAAACTAGAAATAGCTCTATAAATATTATGTAACTCCCCCAAAGCAAGGAGGAGACCCTAGTAACATATACTCCATCCTGTAAACTTTCTGAAAAGAAGAAAAGTAAAAAAGAGCAAGAATCTCCATTGAAGAGTAGATTAGCCGAGCTCCTGAGCTGGTGAACCACTATAATTCTATTGTGTCAATTCCCGATTTCCCATATTTTTCCATTAGTCTTCGCTCTTTCGAGTCTTGAGGCTCAGATCTTAAGAAACAATTACAAATCGTCTCATCTGCTCACCACCATAAGTCTGCACCACGTAAATTTATACCATCAATTATGTTTAATCACTTCTGTTTAATTTATATCGATGATAATCAGAGATATAAAAGTTAGGTAAAATTGTGTTTGATCAACTCTAAATACTTTGGATTTAAGCTTTGTTGGGTTAATGAATTATGCACGATGAGATGAAGTTCTTATGTAAATTTGTAAGACCTTGAGTGTTGCTCGGTTATTTAGCAGGTTTGATATAGGCCACAACTCGTGCATTAGACCGCCTTTTATACAGGTTGTTCTTATCTTGGCTTAAGACTGCAAATCCAACCTACTATAAGAGCTGTGCACGAAGCCAACTTAGCAGCCTGTTGCCTCGTGCAGGTGTTAATGGGCTATGTCGGGAACAATCTCACCCATCCACAACAAGAACTTTTCCTTGTTTTCACCTAAAAAGTGATAATAAGAACTGATGAGGAACCCATAAGAGCCTAAGTTCAACGTCCCACATATGACTCTTACAAATGTTCCATGGCCGAGTCCCCTTTGCAGGCCTTAATCTGGCTGGCCAGTCTGGCCTAAATGGCAAATACCATGACTATTTCCCTGCCTGTGGAGCTGTCGAACTACCAACAGACTGTCCTGTAATGGGTCATTCGACCCAAAGCCCCGCCCACATCGGACTCACGAACTGACCCGTGGGCCAAGGAACACTTACTGACCACTAAACCTTAGTGGGTAGGTATGTATCTGTCAAGATATCTCCTTGTCAAACTGAACAATAAATAGAAACCTAGAAGAAGAAATTGGACATTCAAGTATATTTGACTTCAAACGAACCCCAATCTCGGGACTATGTGAAACTATATATGTAGAACTATATATACTTAAAAGTGTATACCATTACCTTTAGGCTTAGATTATTATGCATTTATGAATAGTGGGGGCAAGCAATAACTCAAAGATACATGTCAATTTGGTTAATCTCTGTCACATATTTGTTTTATAATCCTAAACACAATCATGGCCCTTTGAATAGTGCTTGACTTCCATCCCCATCAGAAGAAATATGAAATTGACTTGGAGACTTGGTGCGACTCTAGTGCTTGTCAGGAAGAACCCTTAACACTATGAATCAACTTTGTTTTTGGGATTTGTAACGGTGAATTATGTTACAATATTTGGGGGTCAAGTTATAATTTTTTTGGGCTTCTAGGGATCAAGGGTCCTAACTAGAATTGATCCTAAAAACTAGTGCAGAGATGCTATCGATTTTTTTTTTTTTTGGCTGCCGTAGGCTTATCCTTGACACAATTGCAAGAGACAGTGATAATAAAATAGATAAAATCAATTGAGAGATAATATATAGTTAAGCATATATATATATAGACCCTTAATCATGCGGTTTGGTGGTGCACTAGAGATTCTACTGTTTCCCTATGAGGTAGACTATTAGTGTAAATTATCGTGTGTGAGTAAAAAATCTAACAAAGATATCATAGAAAGATTGAAGGGCACCAAAAGTGGCATACCTTTTTATTATATTATGAATGAGATTCCTCATGCTAATATACAGGTAATTGGGTGATAAAGGTTTTTGCTTATAATATAAGCTTCTTTATATAAGTTCATGTACTTGCTCTGAATTCATATTCACATGCTATAGTTAAGTAAAAGGGGTTATGATCCTTGGCAAAGAGCTTGTTATTTTTAAAATCCATATGAAAAGAAAATGAATTCGTATTCTCCGAACCATGGTTCTGGTTTAGTAGTGGCCTGGAACAGAATGATGTTAATGCTTACAATGACAACCAGAAAGGTAGAAAGAAGAAGAGAAAAAAAAAAAGGATGTTGAAAGCGGCAGAACTGAGGATGATTGTATTTGTTTTTGCCATCGACAATAATAACAACTACGGTAATAACAACCATAATGATAACGGCAACAATAATAATAGTTATTGTTACAATTGTTATAATTATTAAAGCTTTATATGTGTTTTTTCTTTACTTTTTCTTGTTATTTTCAGGCTATTGTTCTGTGCACATGGGCATGTATGCATGAATGCAAGCTGAGAACAATGGGAGACACTAAACACTAGTGGAACCAACTATCATCGGTCTCTATTTTTAGGGTATTGATTCTCCCATCAATTCTCACAAACCCCATCACAGATAACACTTCAAAAGATTTCTCAAACCCAATCATCCAAATTCTAATGAATCGATGTTGTATATCAAACTGATTTATGGTCATCAAGCCTTGTCGGGAAAAAGAAATTAAAGATCATCATATGGTTAAGATTCTTGAATCAAGTTGATTTATTTTATAATCACTCAGCCCAAAATGATAAGATCCTCAGCTGAACTTTTTGTCATCAATATCTTATGAAGTCGTTCAGCATCTATTCAAATGGACAACAACTAGTACTATAGAATTGTCTTTATATTTTTATAAATCAAGTGAATTAGGTAACACTTTGTGTGAAAGTAGGTGGCTTTTTCTACAAGCTGGTTTTCAATACCCCATTCTTTTTAGATAAAAAAAAACAAAAACAAAAGTGAAAGTCCCTAAAAGCAAGCACCCATAAAACCTTTGTGACAAGCCCTAGCAATAACAGCACCACCACCAAAGTTGCATGATCAAAAGCCACATAGAAAGGTTGCCTTCCTACCCTTCTCTTCCCCTTCAAACCAAGTCCACCTACCTTCTCTAAATTCTGTTAACAACCATGTAACCAATCGACCCAAACAGAAAAAGATTTTGTTGAGTTGAGTCGAGTTTTATCCCTCAACCCTAATTTGAGAGATGTTGCGTATATTGGCTGTGATGAGGCGAAACCTCGGGAGGAAGAGTCCGCGAGTAGCTGATGAGAACATGTTTGGAGATGGGAATGGAGCTGAATTGCCAACCATTGCACGCAACATAGACAGACGAGGGCAAGGTAGGAACGGACTTTCAGTTATATATGGCCTTTTACGAGCTCCGGTCTCGTTGATCTCATGCCTATCGAATCCCCATATCAACGTTGCCGATGGAGTCTGGGTGTCCGGTGACTTAGCCCGGATTTCTGAAGTGAATCATCTTATGGTAAGCGACAGCATGCGATACGCCATCTTGATGTGAAACTGTAAGTGATCAGCTTTGCTACTTCGATAAAACTATAGAGTCGATAACAAAAAAGTACTAGTTTGAAAGGCTTGTTCGAATTGATCCACTATAGGATCATCTTGTTTTAGATTATGGGAAAGCAAAGGTCAGGACTATTGATGAGGAGATTGAGCTGATGATCCATGGTGTATTCCCATGTTTGTATAGCTGATCTCATGTGGTGGAAGAGCAAGAGGTTGCCTAGGGGACTTCTTACTGTTTAGTCCAGTTAGATAATTTCTTTTTTTTTGGCCCACTGAATTACACAAAATTTCTTGTTAATTTAGACGTGTTAAAATTTTCAAAAACCTCATAGCTCGATTTGGGTTTAACTCGTTTTTGGTTTGTTTAAATTACAGTATATGGCTTCAATAATATTTACTTTGTTCGACTAGATTTCCATTTATAATCAATTCTAGTTTGATTGCTAAATGACACATATATCCAAAAAAAACTAACGCAAACTTATGTCCAATAGCCCCAAACTTTATTTACTTCTCTCTCAATTTATTTTCTAATAGAATTTGGGTAAGTATGAACTTCTAGAGTTTTGTTTTTTGATTGATTACACTCATTTTGGGATATTTTATATTGAGAAATTGATAATCAAGTTTTCGGTTTTGTATTCAAAATATTTTGGTTGAGTAATTAAACTTTATTTTAACTCGAATTTAGTTTGAATGATTCTAATTATTTGCAAAAACAAAACAATTGTATCTTTTACTTCTTAAAATAGTACTTAAAAAGGTTAGAAATTTTTTTAAAAAAAAAATCTAATTTTTTTTTCTTCTTTCCAAATGGTATTTACAAATAATTTCTTTTGATCTCCTCTATATCGTTTTTAACAAAAAATACATCACTTCAGTATTGTTCTTTTTCTCTCCCTCTCTAGCTCTAAACATATAAATACATGTATAGATATATATATCTACAACATATTTAGTTTGTTAATTTATCAAAAATGATTGGTATTCATTAGTTGATGATATTGGAACAGTTGAGCATGAAATAGTGGCTGACATAACGAAATTAGGGCATGAATAGTTGATTGATTTAGGTAGTGGAATTAGTGATGCTCTCTCTTTGTGCATTGAATTTCCCTGGATATTGTGTTTTGAATTGAATTGAATTTTAAAAATTAATAATATTGTTTGTACTTAATTAGTTGAACTAATCGATTACTATCCAGGCCCCAACCAATATTAGAGTATATAATCAATCTAATGACAATAAATGTTTAAATTAGTAAATTATGTCCAAATAACATTACTCTTTTCATACTGAGTATTGATAATTGTATGTAGTGCATTGGTTCGATGGCATTGTGTGTTCTCTTGGGTGATTCGTGGTGGTGGGTTGGGTGGTATGGAGATGCAGTGGTGGTTTGGGGGTGGTTTGCAGTTGTGGTTTGAGTAGTTTAGAAATTAGATGTGATGGTCATTCTAGCAGGAAATAGAGAGCAAATGACGTCTCAATCACAATAAAATAGTCTTATCCTACATCAAGTACTCAAGGCCTGCATATCTCAGCGATAATTGTAAGAATAATGCTATTTGAATTCAATTTATTGAATTAATCACTTATAATCATTGGATTGACAATAAACACCAATTTTTATCAGGATCAACAATCAAATGAATAGTTATGATGAATTAGGACAGTAAATTAAGTATAAATAATATTATTATTATAATTATAAATGATGGTTGAGAGACCATAGTGCGACATGCTCTTAAGACCCAATATGGGACACAAAACAGAGACATTTTGTTGAAAAATAAGTTATCCATCGTTTGATAATGATTTTCAAAGCAAAAAAAAAATTATTAAAAAAAATAAAAACAAAAACATGTGCAATGGTAAGTGTACACAATCAACCTATATGCATCTTAATTTGTAAATAATTAGGTTACATAATTGCACATGTGTATCATTATAAATGCAATTGAAACGCTACTTAGACAAATGTAAAAGAAACACTACTTAAAAAACGCTACCAAATTTACAACGTCTGTATTCTTTTTTCTTTTTGGAGGTCGAATCGAATTCATTTATAATTGCAGTGTGACAAACTATTTAGGTCATGTTTGATTGGAGAAACTACTTATAAGAGGAGATGTCGTAAGATTCCTATTTATTTTTCAAGTCCTTTGTCTTCTTGGTAAATAAAAACGTTAATAGAAAAGAAAAACTAAAACTGATACTAATGTTGAATGCAATTGTAAAAGCCATAAAACCCACCAATAATCACTAAAGATAACAAGAAGCAACTTAGGGTTCCGTTTCTACACTGAAAAAATAATATTTTGGTATTGTATTTTCAGTTATAATTCAATAAAAACGTGATATGGGTAAAAAAAATTATTTTATTATTCTTGCAACTTTACTATTTTTTTGATTTATAATTAAAAACTATTTATATTAAAATCTAGAACCGAGTTGGATAGATTAGCCATTTCCTGCTGCAACTAAAAAACCTTTTTGAAGTCCCATCATTATCTCTTCCTTAATAAAGCAGATTTGTTCAAGTGATAAACTCTGATTTCTTCCACACTTGAAATCTTTTTGTAGGAGCTGAAACTGACTAGGGGAATAAAGTAGATTATCAAGTAGTGATGGAAATAATTGAGCCTTGATGCTGACTAAGTGCAACTGAGAAAAGGGAAAAATAGCACTGAAGAAAGCTTGAAAAGTCTATAATGTCGAAATGTTTATTTTTTTATGCTGGCATCCATGGGTAGAGTCGGGCTTTTATTCTTATTCACAAAAAAATTATATATATCATACATATGAATTTCACCTGATGAATTTTTTCAGTGTATAATTCTGAGACAATTAGTTTCTTTAAGTTTTTAAAAGATTAGGATTTGCAGATCACTCCTTAACGAATACAAGCTGTCAACCCCCTCATAGTGATGAATAATCTGCAAATCTAATAGAAACTGTAAATTTTGATAATTTGTGTGTTACTCGCACTAACTAACGCCCGTGACTTACGAATAAGTTAGTTTTTACTTAGAAAAATAATTGAAAATAGCCAATTTTATTCTCAATTAAAATAAGAATAAAAAGGTTCCATTGGCAGTAAGTCTATTAGCAATTTGTCAATTGCAAATTTGAAGTATTTGTTCAACTGGTATAGTTGGAGTCCATTCCTGCTTTGTCTTTGTGCTTAATGTTTTGTTTCCACAATAATACATTTACGAGAAAGTTTAAGGTGCCTTTGTTATACTGTAAATTAAAATTTTTTAAGGGGTAAATTATAATTTATAAAAAGCATGATTGATTCTAAAATATAGCGATCGATCATGAAATTTATAACTTTCAAAGGTTAAATTATAATTTTTAAAGCTCAAGTTAAATTTTAAAAAGGAGAAGATACGACTCATCGAGAACGTCCATGATTGATCATGGGTTTCCTTTAATCAATTATAACTTCTCTTTTCAAAGTCCTAATTTTATTTATTATAAAAATTTGTAACTTTCAGTACTAAGTTTCTCTCTCTCTCTCTCTCATACCACACCCACCAACATAAAAAGATATTGAGTTTTACGATTACACCACGTCTACTAAGAAAAATACTAAATAAACTTAAAAGATTGACTAAAAAATTTAATTTGATGAATCACTATTATTGAATAGATAATGCATCTCAATAAATATTGAGATCTACAATTAAATCAATGACAATTAAATCAGTCAATTTTTTAAGTTAATTTTTTAAATCTATATAACATTGTTCTGTCTACTAATAAGATAACAAATGAACAAATGAATGGAGTCGGGAATTTGCTTAAGGGGGACAAAATGTAATTAACAAAAATTACCAGTTAATACAAAAAAATTTAAGTTAAAACACAAAAAAAAATATTAAAATTCAAGACTAAATTAAAATATGCAACAAGCAAACTAATTTTCATTTAGCCTAAACAAAATCTGAATAAAAACATATGACTAAATATATAATTTTTAAAAAATTTAAAGGGGATAAATATAATAAATGCAAAAAAAACATGACATAAATAAAAATGGTTTACTTACTCACTTGTTTGTTTATTATTGGACAATAACTTGACTTGGAATAAGCGTTACCCCAACATTTATGATCTGTTTGGTAGTAGGGATGAAAAATTAAAAGAATGGAAAAGTGTGAGGAGATGAATTTTCATCGTTGGAGGAAAGAAAAACACTTTTCCTCCTTTGTATTTGATATGATAGATGAAAATTTTGAAGAATTAATTTTTTATTATTTGGTATTGGAGGAAAAGTGGAAAGAAATAAAATATACATGTACTTAGTTTATCATTACACCCTTATAGATATATATATTTTTTATTACATATAAATATAGATATGTATACCAAAAATAATAACCAAAAAATATAAATAGAAAAAATATATGTAATAGAATATTTAGAAATATTTTTTGAGAACGGTGTAGATTTTGATTTGAAATTACGACATAACATTTAAAAGTATATTTTAAGGGCAAAAAAGTCAATTTATTCAAAAATTGAATAAAAAAGTTAAGAAACTAATAATTTGGTCAATTTTTTATTATTTTATATGGAATAAGAAGATAAATGAATAAAAAAAAATGACAAAAAATTACCATAATTGCTCCAGTAAGAAACAAATGACTTTGATATGGGACCCACTAATTTAGTCCACTTGTACATAAAAAATGACAAAATAGGTGAGCCACACACTTATTTTTTCCCTCTAATTTGTGTTTTTATAATTTGTCACTTTTACTGTGCGTTTAGTATGGTGGAAAATTAGGTAGATGGAAAGTGGAGGGAGAAAAATGGGAGGGAAGGAAAGCTATTCATGGTTTAGTTTCAAAGAAAAATGAAACGAAAAGGAAGGTTGGGAGGAAACATCGCGACTTTTGCCCACCATTTTCAGTCCGTCCACTTTTGGGCAGAAAGCTGAAGAGAGGATGAGGACTTTGAGTGGGGGTTAAGCTAATTTA